TGATTCCGCAGTACAGTGAATATCCACACTGGTGCGGTGACTGACAGCCACACATACTCCTCAAAACATTAGATTAATCCGCGCTGGAGCCATGCCGCCGCACAACCCACGCAAGGAAGATAATTCCGCACACAGCTGCAATTGCAGGTTTTCAAACAGAGATGGCGACAAAGAGGCAAAACTTACAGACTGCAGCTTTAACATTACAAAAGATTAGGCAAATTTTATTGATATATATTAATTTATATATAATTAAATGTTTATATATAAATATATATTAATATATGTATAAAATAAATTGCTAATTACTTTACATGTATTTATATTTAAATGTTTCATCTCTGAAAGTCACTATAGATTTTATAAATAAATATTGAGATTGTTCAAATGAAGATTGCAATTGTTCAGAAAATTTATATTTTTACCTAGCCCATCACACCCTCTAATATTAGTATATAATATATATTTTACTTTATTTTTAATGTTTAATATTGAGATACACTCTTCGCAAGTTAAGATACACTATTCATTTTAAGTATAATCACTGTGGTACTATAAAAACATTGCTCTTTTTTTTTAGCAAAATTGGCTCAACCAATGGTATAAGTTTGGGGTGGGACTATCTGTTTGTCCAACCAATGAAGACAGTGATGAGTGATCAGGAAGCCTGTTTGAAAACACTAGTGCTGCAAAAATTACAGTCTCCACCTTTAAGATTAGTCAAATAGCCATTCAGGCTACCTTAAAAAATGTTGTAAATATAAAGTATTACACGTACCATATTTTCCAGGGCAACAACAAAAATGCTAAGTTAACTTTGTATTCAGTATTCCATGTGTCCATGTTTTTCTGCTTATCTCATAACTGCCATGAAAGCTGGAACAGGCCTTTATTTTATTAGCTGTGTTCTCACGTTTCGTTTCATAGATAATATTTGCACTCCAATTAAATATTCATGATGAGTCTCTATCTCTCGTTCCTTTAAATGGTGCTCCAGCATAGCTCATGTCAAAAACATCATTTGTTTCCTTTGATAAATATTAGATCTAGTCTTGTGCTGATTATATCATGCAAATTTGCATAGCCCCTCACCGCAGGCTACATTGTCCACACGGTCAGATAAGATGCGTTGCACCGAGCCACAGTGTTTGGATAGTATATCTCGCATGGGTCTCTGGCTGAGAGCACGGTGAGCCAAAAAACAGACAGATAGTGCACAGGTGTGGCTGTGCATATGGAGTCAAAGCTCATGCCACCTTGCAGACAGCCATCTGGCCGGCACAGAAAGATCTGCTTCAAACTTTATGGTCATTAAGCTTATCAGTTGTCTATCCCTCTGTCCTTCCAATCCCTGTGAAAACCACTGTCCTTGTTAAAGTGAGAGTTTCAATCCTTTTACAGTTGGCTGTTAATAATTAATTTCCAATTAATTCAGCTGTGATTTAATGGAGATGTCAAACCATGTTAAGTGTCTATTTTTGGAAACTAGACCACCAGGTAGTGCGTGTGTACCTACAGAGTGCAGAACAGTCATGACTATGACATATTTATGAGGACAAAAGATACTTTCATGCTTTATTTCCATGTTCGGATGAACCCTGCGTGTTTACTTATCCCATTGGGGATCTTTGTTTCTTTTCTTTGCAGACCACTTGAAGATTTTTCTTTTATCTCCCATGTGAATACCACTCTTTCTTCTCTTATTTGTCATCTAAGAGCAACAATACAGTGTGTGCAAATTCATTCAGACAGGATGATCATGAAATATGTGCTTTAGTCTCTAGAGAAGCTAACGGTTGAATATAAATTTAAATAACATACGTTGAGTATTTAAATTAAGGGACATGTGCTTGCTCTCTCTCTCTCTCAGACAGAAGAGCACTTGTGTTGTTGACATGTAGACCTTTTCTCTCAAACCTATGAATGCAAGGAAGAGGCTTGTAGAGATGTAAAAATAGTTTCCATGCAAATTTGGAGTGTCCTTCAAAAAATGCAGAGAATAAAACGAAGACCTGTCTGTAATAGTTGTGCATCTATTAGTAAGCTATTTCCTACTAGGGATGGGAATCAGATAGGACTGGAAAAAAAGAGGTTTGTAGTGCTGTTAAAGTCTGAAGAGGCGTATAATGGCTGCCATGACTCTCTCTGGATAGTAACAAAGCTATGTAGCTATATGCAGTCACATCAAGAATGACCAGTATAAGTCATTCATTATCCTTTTTCTCCTTTATGATTTTCTTTCTTGTCTAGGCCTATAGGTGGCAGCAAGATGATTCCACTGAGGATCAGCAGGTTTTCCTGATGTGCTTTGATAGATTTTTAGGATTTCAGTCTTCAGTCTTCAGGGGCTCAACCCCTTAAAAAGAGCATGAGTTGATGTGGCTCAAAAGAATATATTTCTTTGCCTTACTTGTGAGTTTGAATCTTGCTCAAGGCTTACTTTTACTTACTTTACTGTTGTTGTTTTTTTTTTAAGTAGATGTACGTCAGTAATAATGGTGTATCTGGTAAGGCTGTTTTTTATTTTCTGATTTCATTGGATTAAAGAGCATTTGTCTAAAGAGTTAGAGAAACGCACATGTCTGTGCAAGCTGTGTGCGGGCAGCGCTCTGTGGCCTAACACTGGAGGGAAGGATAGTACATAATGTTAAGAACTTTAACGTTTTGATTTGTAATGACGTAATGACTGGTAAGGGTGAGGACTTCAAGTGAAATAACTTGCAGATGCTATAGCTATTCCAGATGCCCTTTTCAGCAAACATGAAGTGAGATCACATGATCACAAGAGTGCTGACAGCTGAGTTAATTGCAGATTTTTGAGGTGGCTGAAATGTAAATGGGAGAGTAAAGCCCCCCTAAGTACGGTCTAACAGCACCTATGATTGATACCATTACTTTAAAAAGGCATGAAATATAATGGCAGCATATGCTTTAGGGCTGTTCTTTATTCAAAAACAAAATTCGATCCCCTAAAATTGTAGTACTCATACTGTATGTTCATGCACAATATGAATTATGAAATGTTTTTTTTTTTTTTTTTTTTTTTGCTTTATTGTAAAGAAAGACCTAATTTTCAGCAGTTAATAGTTCAAGAATAAAGCAAAACAGAACAAGTCATAAACTAGTTTTTAATGGTTATTTTTTGGAGCTTAAACGGATGGTCCACCCATCATTCCAAACCTGTATGTGTTTCTTTCTTTTGTGGAACTCAAAAGAAGATATTTTGTGGATTTGTGGGAACCAAACAATATTGGAGCCCATTAACTTTTATTGTATACAATATATGGACAAAAAAAACATATATGGACAAAAAAACCTGATACGTTACTCAAAATATCTCCTTTTATGTGCTACACAGAAGAAAGAAAGTCCAGTTTTGGACATGAGGGTGAGTAAATGTTAATTTTTGCATGGAGTATCCCTTTAACTGCACTTGAGCCCATTAAAACTTTGTACACCATCATATAAAAGACCTTTTCTGATTTCATACCAGGACAAATATAGTTTAGCATTTCTATTTATGTCCCATGTGTATCATTTTTGTCAAATCACACTTTTGAGTTCATGAGTAATTGCAAATTGACATACTATAAATAACTTTTCAGTATTTCTGGTTGTCACTGAAATATTATGCTGTCATGTGGAACATTTGAGAGGAGCATGAGGAGATTGTTTCCATATCTATCCAAAAGTATGTCATATCAAAACTTGTCTCGTCTGTTAATATTGTTTACAAGATGTTGTAACACAAGTATGTCATGTGTTAAAGGCTTGAAGCAAAGTCACGGTCAGAATCGAGACTCTTTTGATTTCTTCCAGTTGCTTCTCAGGGGAGTTTTGCAACAAAGTTAACCCTGCTGCACGTTTCCTTCTCATTTTCTGGCTTCTCTTAGTAAAGTCTATCTAAAAACAGACAGCAGCACAGCAAAAAAATCTGAAATGTCACAGTTCATAGATGAAAGACGAAAGATTGGATTTATTTATATGCATGGCAATATTTATGTATTTTCACAATGTTGCTATTTTCCACTTTCAGTCCATCTGATGCAGTGTAGATCTGGCAGTTTCCTGCCTTTGGCATGTTAGCTGCTGATGCTAAGACACCTGATGGACAAGCAGCCTCCACCTGAGCCCTTAGGGGACACTTGACCGCATGACATTTCCACCCCAGGATCTGGCACGGCTACCAGCTGTACCTGGGGAAACTAAAGCATCTGCATTTCAATTTACACCTCACAGCACAACAGTAACTCAGCTGAGTTTATTTTCTCAGATGCTGTCAGGGTGGGAAAATCAACAGTATTGACATTTAAGCAAAACTTGAGCACAGATTAATTTTATAAAAGACTGTCATTCCAGGTACATCTCAGTACTACAGACTCACACAATCCATAGATTTCTTTACGGTAGATGGCGACAAGCAATACATTTCAGATAAGCCCACTGCAGTTAAACAGAATTGATGAATTTGAGATATTCAGCCCTGTCTTAAAATGTAAATAAAGTTAGATCGATCTTACATCTCACATTATTGTATGAGAACAAACCCTGAACTGACTGGAGCTAAATAATGACACCATTGTCTTGCTACAGCTGCTTTCTAGCAGAATTTCGATTTGCCTCTTTTTTTGAAGTTTGCACTTTCCTGTTTATTCCTGTGAAGCTGCTTTAAAACTATATTGTATAAAGTGGTATAAAAGTAATGGTGACTTGACATTAAAGGAAATGTAGACATTGTTCAAGTCCTTTTAAAACAAAGTTTGGAGATTTTTTAAAATGCTAATGACACCGTTGTCTCTAGTATTTTTATTATAGTGGAATTGTGATCTACTGTCTTTTAACTTGTATGCCTTACGTTGATCGTGACAAACTAGGACAAACTTATATTCTTTTTTTTTTGGAATGGACAATCAGAAGCTTGGTTGAGGAAAGGCGTGTAAAAAGGTCATTTTTTTGCCCCATTTCTCAGCCTCACGAACCTTATTGCAGCTTTATATCTCACAATATAACTTTAAATCTCACAATGTGATTTTATATCTTGCATTGGGACTTTATATCTTGCAATTGCAATTTTATTTCTCTTAAATTCAAATTTTATATCTCAGACTGTGACTTTACTGTAAATCTTACAATGTAACTTTGTCACAATGTAACTTTATTTCTTAAACTTTTTCTAACTATAACTTTTTTTTTTTGCTCCTATGCAGGAATGGGCTTCCAAATTAAGTACTACTGTCATACACTGTCAGAAAACATTATGCATCAGGTACTATTTAAAACTAAAACGTTCTCTCTTTATTTGTCAAGAATGTTTAAACCCATTTGCTTCCCTTAAAGACAGATGATCATGCGTTGTAAGTGGCTTCCAGCGTGTCAAAATGCACAAAAAGTTTGCGCAGTTCGGCTGGAACATGTTTGAAGAGTCACACTGGTTTTTCCTCCTGTCAGTATGCCTCATCACCTGGCCTGCTCTAAAATAGCACTATGGTATTTTTAGTTTCTTAAAAGCTGCCATGTGCACAAAGTGATTTAGACAATTTAGAGAGTTCCTTTTGAGCTGACAGAAAATGAGAGGAGACAGCAGATCTTTAAAGCTGGGACAAAAAAGAAAAAGTACTGAAAAAAATTTACTCATTTGTGAAAAAACACATTTGTGTTACATGACAGCATCCCGGCTGATCTTTTTTTCAAATATTGTAGTATATATTTAGTTTTGCACATGCTGTACAGGTGCACAAGACATCATGTTTAAAATATGTCTGCAATCAAAGAACAAGAAGCTGATTGTAGTTTATAGCACTGATTTAACACATATATTATTAGTAGTCTACTTCAGTTGAAACACCATGGGTTCTGCCATTTAATGCTCTCATGAATGGGAAAACCAGTATGTTTTTATCCTGGATTATGGGTTACAGTAGGGATACGACATCCTTACAGGTGGAAAGTTTAATTTGCACTGTCAGGTGAACAAAACTCAACTAGATATGTTTTTAATAATGAAATTAAACTAAATCAAATCTTAAAATTTACTTTCCACTTTCATCTTTCAACTGATTTAAAGTGTCAAATGAAACTTTTCTGTTCCTTGCTACTCAAGGTATCTCCTCCATGACCACTTGATTTAATCTTTTTAAGATACTTACTGTAACTAACTCTTAGGAAAGAAAATTATTTAACTCTCACTTTCATCTCTGTTCTAGTGTCGCTTATGTTTTATTCTTCATCTTTAAGGCTTTTGTAAATCACTTTGGATAAAAGCGTATAATAATAGGAAATAAATGTAAATTCAGCAGCCATCAATTTAATGCATCCTTGCTGAAGAAAATACAGTGTGTGTTTATATATGAATATATAAAATTATTATAAAATCCACATTGTCCCCATGAGAAAAAAAAAGCTTATAAACAAATAAATAATCTAGAAAGGTTTGTGTAAAGGTAGGTTCAGGATTAAGGGATAGAAAATGTCATTTGTTTATTAAAACAAATGATATGAAAAACAAACATTGTGCAGAGGACGTGGATGGATTTGGTAATAGACGTCTGACAAAAAAAGGACAAAACTGTATTCGTAATAACCTCATACCTGAAGGACAAGCAAGGCTGAAGTGTCTAGAAGTGTCAGAGACAGAGAGAGAGAATCAACAGGACAAGGGAACTTGCCTGTCGGACCTGCTCATCTCAGAATGACCGGAATGCAGGAAGGCTTGAAAAGAAAGAGCATTTAAATTGCAGCAGGAGGATAATGACAAAGACAGACAGAAGCAGGAGTAATAGAGGTAGAGATAACAAACAGGACAGGACAGGGAAGTGAAAATTCGACATGGTGAGAAGAGACTCTGGATGGAGAAAGAGAGAGAGAGAGAGAGAATAAAAGCATGAGAGAATGAGGAGGGGGGAGGCAGGATAAATCTGTACAGCATCATGATTAGGTATCAGAAGCTTGTTCTATGGTCTGGAGAGCAGAAGGCAGATCACATCAAACAGATGAGACACTCAGCACATCTGCTCTACAAACTGGACAAACATCATTTGTGAATTTGCATTTATGTATGTATTTATTCTGGATTGCTTTCATGCTCTTCTCAGCCAACACTACAAAAACTCCAAACATTTTGCAACCCGGACTAAATCCAAAAGCGACACCTGTGGATATAAAAGATTCTGAAGATAAGCAACACATTTCGACTAACTGAGAAACATCTTCATGGACTTCCTGCTCAAAATCAGCAGACTACAACTCCAGAGACAGAAAAGGTCAGATACACAGCTCCAGTCTTTCATTCTAATCTATTTTAATCAGCTGTGCTCACTTCCCAGCATCCTTCTCATTTCATCATGATTATTCCCCAAGGTTGGGGAACTAGGTTGGAGCGGGCGGAGGCTATGGATGAGCGGTTTGATTGAAGATGAAGGGTTAGTCAATGCCAAAAACTCAAATTTTTTTGACTGAAACATACTTTCAAACATACTTTCTCAGCTTCTGGTTTACATGCTACAGGCATATCACAACTTTAGGCATAGGTAAACAAGACCCACGTGAGATTTATTCAAGATTTATAGAGTAAGACACCACCTCATGC